ACATGTGATAGGAAAGGAGCTGGAAAAGGAAGACAGAGAAGAGGAAGATGTAAGGTTAGACAGGGATCAAAACCATTTTAGAGTGCAGAGACTGCATTCCCAAGTTAGAAGACATCCAGTTGCTACGTGTGACACCAGCAGACAGTGAGCATCAAGATCAAGGAAGAGGCTAAGCTCTGGGTCTGAACGTACTTGGAAAAGCCATGAAACCATCATCACCCCCATAAAAATAGAATGGGGGGCAAGTAAGATGGCTCGGCAAGCAAAGGTCCTTGTTGCCAAGCTTGACAGCCTGAGTCAGCTCCCCGGGACCATGATGATAGAGAGAACTGGTGCTCACAAGATTTCTTCCGACCTCTACACACATGCTGTGGGTACTGCACCCTCACATGCACGGCGCACGCGTGTGTGTGCATGTGTGTGTGCATGTGTATGTGTGCGTGTGTGTATGTGTGCATGCACGTGTGTGCATGTGTTTGTGTGTGTGCATGAGTGTGTGTGTGCATGTGTGTATGTGTGCATGCACGTGTGTGCATGTGTTTGTGTGTGTGCATGAGTGCGTGTGTGTGTGCATGTGTATGTGCGTGTGTGTGTTTGTGCATGCACGTGTGTGCATGTGTTTGTGCATGAGTGCATGTGTGTGTACATGTCTATGTGTATGTGTGTATGTGTGCATGCACGTGTGTGTGCATGTGTATGTGCATGTGTGCATGTGTGTATGTGTGCATGCACATGTGTGCATGCATTTGTGTGTGCATGAGTGCGTGTGTGTGTGCGTGTGTGTGTGTGTGCGTGTGTGTAATGGTAAAAAGTAGACTGTGGGACACTCGTACATTTTTCATTTTCTAGCATGCATGTCTAAAAAGAGAGAGAGATGAGTTGGGGATGTACCTCAGCTAGTAGAATGATATCTAGCATGCGCAATGCTCTGGGTTGAAACCCTAGTACCATAGGAGAGGTGGAGACAAGTTCAAAATCTCAAAGTCATCTCTAGACATTATACTTAGTTCAAAGCCTGGGCTCTATAACCCATGATTTAAAAAAAAATCAGGTCAAACTAGTTTCATATCTTATTTAACCGAATACAGCCCCAAATACCTTTAAAACTGTACACATCTTAGATTGAACTAGCCATGTTTCTGGTGTCCACATGTGACCAGCAGTACCATTGCATCAAGGAGTGGAAACTTTATCATTCACCTCCATTCAGAAGGAAAACCCAAACATCCTGAGACATTGGTGGAAGCAGAACTCATCGGTTCAGATCTGATGGATCAGAGAGACCCATGCATCTCTGACCATGGAGAGGCTGCTCTTTTTTGTTTGTTTGTTTTGTTTTGTTTTGTTTTTCAGAGGCAGGGTTTCTCTATGGCTTTGGAGACTGTCCTGGAACTAGCTTTTGTAGACCAGGCTGGTCTCGAACTCACAGAGATCCGCCTGCCTCTGCCTCCCAAGTGCTGGAATTAAAGGCCTGTGCTACCACCACCCAGCTGCTCTTGATAATGCTTTCTAGGAAGTGCCAGCATGCCTGTCCTCATGGGTTCTCACATCAGTCCTGAAGTAGGGATGACTCCTTTTATGAACAAACTAACTGTTGATGCAGCTATGGTGTGCCAGAGCCATGTTTAAACCCTGTCTGGGGAGGTGTTGCCTTAGGGGCGGTGTCCTGTATTCCAGGTTCTGGACAACGTGCTGAGGAAATGTCTGGGTAGTCGGGCCACGTATGCAGTCTGTATTTAGAGTGAAGGTAGAGACCACTCATCCGGCCACATAAGCAGGGCCGTCAACAGGACTAGAAGTGGGGTGGAGTTGAGTGTGGGGTGCAGCCATAGAGATTAGGGATTGCAAGAACGGCCCTGAGTGCAGTATAGACTCTGTCTTCCAGGAGAGGCAGCTGCCTAGGGAGCAGAGTGGGTACTGAGCGTGTCTATGCCCTACTACGCTGCTGGTCAGCTGGGCGTTCACATGTGCCCAAGCAGGGCTCAGTGTCTTCTGTAGTCACGCCATCCTCCCGGCTACTTGTCTGGGCCACTTCCTTTCAGGAAGGCAGCCAGGCAGGCTCCTGTGTGCTCTTTGGAACTGAGCTGAGAGGAAGAGGCTGCCAAGACCCCAAGGCAAGGCCAGGAAGCAGAGGAGGGAGGGAAAGAGGGAGGAGTTGACTTCCCACTCTCCCATCCTTGACCAGCCCAGGAAGGCCTTGCAGGAGCCCAGACAGAGGTGAGAGGAGAGCCAGAAACCCCCACCTTAATGGACAGGGACCCAGGGGAAGCCAGCCTGAGCCCTAGGCCACTATACTGAGCTGCCATCTGAGCTGCGCTATGCCTCTTCATCAGCTGAAGGGCCTCCAGGAAGGAAGAAAACAGCCAATGAGAAGTCAGAGGCGTCTGTTTGTTCTGCAAAGCACCATTTGATTAGAGATCATCCTTCCAGCCTTTATTCGCTGAGTACATATACTGTGTTAGCACACACGCACACACACACAGACACACACACAGACACAAACACACAGAGACACACACAGACACAAAGACAGATACACATACACACACAGTCACAGACAGACACACACACAGACATAACACAAACACAGACACACACACAGACACACAAACACAGAGACACACAAACACAGAGACACACACACACACACACACACACACCACCAGCCTCTGACAATGCTTAACAACTCAGTTCCTTCATTAGGAAGCTAATGGGTTTGGGGTGATCAGAATGCAGGGGGGTACAGAAGACAATGGGAGAGCCTTAGCTTTCAGTCCAGAGGGGAGTGCAGCCTCCTTAAGAGCTCTGAGAAGTCTGGTCTGAAGGTAGTGAATTATCACAACTGACTCCTGCTCTACACTCCCCGCTCCCTTTCGTATTACTGTGCTTTCTAACTAATTGTTAAAAAAGAAGAACTCTGAGCAGGGACTGAAGAGATGACTCAGCAGTTAAGAGCATTGGCTGTTCTTCTAGAGGACCAGAGTTTGGTTCTAGGCCCCCTCGAAGCATCTCACAACCATCTGTGACTCCAGTCCCAGGGGATCTGATACCTCTACAGGACATACATGCAGACAAAACACACATGTTGGGGAAGTCCTGTTATTTCCCTGTGCATTTGTCAATAAAGTACTGCTGGCCAATAGGAATCTAGATAGGTGGGGCTAGGAATCCAGGAGGATTCTGGGTAGGAGAAACACAGGAGAGTCGACATGTAACGCCGGGTAGGAGCCCGGAAACTTCTCCGGTAAGCGACATACTTAGATTAACAATTATGAGGTAACTACTTAAGTCAGAGCTAGCCAGTAAGAAATAAGCAAGGCCAACAGCTTCATAATTAATACAGCGTCTTGTGTGTTTATTTGGGACTGATACTGCTCTAGAACCAGGCTGGCGGGAAAGCGGCTCTGGAACCAGGCGGGCAGGAAGGCTCCTCTCAAGGAAAAGCAGAGCCCAGGCGACTGGCAGGGGATAAACCAAAGTGGCTAGCAAAGAAAAAGCTTCTCTTAACACACACATACACATAAAAGATGATAGATAGATAGATAGATAGATAGATAGATAGATAGATAGATAGACACACAGACAGACAGACAGACTCTGAACACACAGACAACAATGTCCCTCAGGTATTCCCTCCAAACAGCCTTGCCTAGCATCTTTGTTCAGGGTCTGTGCTGAGGCTTAGGGGTTAGTGGTCGGGGTGGGGAGCAATTAGAGAGAGGTGGACAGAATCCTGAATCTAGAAGACTTGATGTTTTGGTTGTGAGCCTAGCCTTTCATGGTTGAGCCATCTCTCCAGCCCAGACAGCCTATGAGTCCAGACAGCATCTCCTATCAGAGAGGCAAGAGGGCTGTGAAGGGACTCTGGAGGTCATGGGAGCAGAGGGGACAGGGCAGGTCTCTCTGAGGATGTGTTAGAGCAGAGACCAAATGACTACTAGTGAAGGAAGTTGTGAAAATATGGGGCAGTTCGAGGCCAGCCTGGTCTGCATGGTTCCAGGACAGCTAAGGTTATGTAGAGAGACCTTGTTGAAAGAAAGAGGTGTGGGGAGCTGAGGGGCTGGAGCTCCCAGAGAAGAAGCCTTAAGGAGGGTCAGGCACCTGTATGCATTCTCTTAGAGCTGAGACAGGCTGGGCCACCTGTCCTGGCTCCTTTGCTGTCACTCTCTATCGGGTCCCTTTCAGGCTTAGTCTCAGACTGTCCCCCCCCCAGGAACGTGGTGCTGATGAGCCCCCATCACATTACAGATGACCCTCTCCAGTTGTAGCAACCTGGGAAAACAATCCCAGGCCTCTGCAGCCAGATAAACACACCAGCGTTTGTGGGGGAGAAGTCACACTGGCAACATTCAGCTCAGGGAACATTCTAGAATGGCAAACCTCTGGGGCCTAGCATGGTCAGTCAGTAACACCTCCCAACAGTTCCACATTGAGATCAGCTTCTCTCCAGACACAGTGTGCACCCTGAAGGTCCTGAAGGGAACTGTGGCAGGTGTCCCCAAACACAGAGTCCCCACTGAAGTTCCTACAGGGAACTGTGGCAGGTGTCCCCAAACACAGAGTCCCCACTGAAGGTCTTACAGGGAACTGTGGCAGGTGTCCCCAAACACAGAGTCCCCACTGAAGGTCCTACAGGGAACTGTGGCAGGTGTCCCCAAACACAGAGTCCCCACTGAAGGTCTTACAGGGAACTGCAGCAGATGTCAACCAGATCTCTAGGTAAAGACCTAATCCCCTATTCTCAAACTCAACCCCACAGAAGGCAGTGTATGGGCAGACAGGGATCGCTCTTCGACATTTGCTCTCCACAGGCTTTAGTGTCCTGGTCTAGAAAGTGGGGCTAATAATCCAGTCAGACTTCATGATCAGATCTAGTGAATTTGAGAACAGCAAAACTGGAAGAGTCCAAAGGGCGAGTCGGCAGCCTCTGGGGAATCTCTGAAGCAGGGGACACAGAGGCAGTGACAACTACTGAGAAGGTGACACTGGAAGCAATAAATGAACAGAGCAGCAGGTATTTATTCTTGGTGCTGACCCCTCAGGCCTCCCTACCCCATCCATCCGCCTGTCTGGTGCCGGAGGTGAAGAAGACCGGGAGCTGGTCTCAGCGGTGGGTGTGGTCACGGGCCGCAACTCTGAGTGGTGCAGCTGGAACTGAAATGAAAGGGCATGAGGAGGACTGAAAGGAGGGTTGGGGCACCAAAGCCCTGTCTCCCTTCTCCTGACCTCTAGTCCCGAGTGCCTGGCAGTTGTGGGACACAGTGTCGGCTCTGCTGAACACCCTGCACGTGTGGTGGGGTGGTCTCCCACGTCTCACCACATGCCCGTGTCTCGATATAGAGGCTCCCTTGTTTATTGGTCAGAGGATGGCACTGCCCAGCCAGACCCACCTGGCAGAGCTCTCAGTGCTGGTCCAGGATGAGGGGCACCTGTGCGCTGTCCACTCGAGGAGGCAACCGCTCTCCCGTGCGCACGTTGAACATGGGCAAGGTGGAGAGAGGCCGGGGCACCTCGCGCCTGGCTGCCATCTGCCGAAGCTCTTCTGTATTCCCATGGATGGTACAATGGTGAACCATCTGGATGCTGGAGACACAAGCAGAAGATCGTCAGCTCTTGGAACTGACCTCTTGGTCAGTTCTGCCTGCGTGTCTGCCTGCAGTATGCCTGCGTGTCTGCCTGCAATCCAGAAGAGGGCACCAGATCTCATTACAGATGGTTGTGAGCCACCATGTGGTTACTGGCAATTGAACTCAGGACCTTTGGAAGAACAGGCAGTGCTCTTAACCTCTGAGCCATCTCTCCCCAGTGGTGAATTCCAGGGGAAGCTGTTTTCAAGCCTCCTTTAGAGAAACCCACCTTGTTTGTTGGCTTAGTCGGGTGACATTTCCCCCAAACTCCTGACCATCAAGTCAGAGCAGAGATTTTCTTTGTAAACAATGAATTTTTCTGCTAGGGGGGTGTTGCGGTTGAGGCAAGAGGATTTTGAGTTTGAGGCCAGCTTGGGTTACACAATGAAGACATCTCAAAAACAGTTTAAAAAATAGAATTGGGGAGCTGGAGAGATGGCTCATAAGTTACGAGCACTGACTGCTTTTCCAAAGGTCCTGAGTTCAATTCCCAGTAACCACATGGCGGCTCACAACCATCTAAAATGGGATCTGGTGCCCTCTTCCTTAAAGACCCACCCACATGCAGATAGAACACTCATATACATAAAAAAAATTGGGCAGTGGGATCACACACTTTTAATCCCAGCACTTGGGAGGCAGAGGCAGGTGGATCTCAGTGAGTTCTTAGCCAGCCTGGTCTATAGAGCTAGTTCTAGGAAACTAGGGCTGTTACACAGAGAAACCCCGTCTGGGGGGACGGTAATGACAGAGCCCAAGGTATTAGGACACTGAAAGACAGGCAGGCCTCCTGGAGGCGGCGGTGCTCCCCTTGGAAGGGGGGCCGAGTACCCACTGGCCAGGAACAGAAGTAAGGTCACTGTAGAGGGCCAGACAGAGTCAGATAAGCTGCTAAATGTGGAATCTGACAAACTGAGTTGTCAGAAATACAACTTCCCATCCCTGGGGGAGGAGATCTTCTGGAGGGATGAAAGCAAGAAGTATATGGATGCTAAGAGGGACCAGTGAGCCAGGAAAGGTCCTCATCAACCAGGCCCTCCCACCCCCATCCACACATCTGGATCTCATCACTCTGGTGATGCACAGGTGCAAAAATCTCCCCAAGAGGAGCAGAAGAGCAGGCACTAAACCCAGTGGAATGGTCCCAAGGGGCTTGGGGTAAGTGCTAAGCAAACAGGAGGACAGGCAGGCACTGCTAATACAAACACATGCCCACAGACACATGCACACCCATGTGGCCACAGGTCTCTCCACCACCAACAGATATTCTGGCCCCAACACACAGACCCACAAGTGCCACTGGGGCCTGGAGAACTTTGTGACCAATCAGATCTGATACAGGGACAGCCAGGCAGCAAAGTCACTACTTGTAGCCAATTTGAAAACTGGCAGACATTTACATAAGTAAAGTAACTGTATCTATTAGGACTAAATCAATATAAAACTCAGGCCAGCAAAGGCTGCTTGAACACGGGGCAAAATTATTGGTTACAATCAAAAGGGAAGCAGATCTCCCTGACATCAGAGCTACAAGCTGATCCAGGAAAGCTATAAGTGGTAAATAATACTGGCCACAAGAGAAAAGTCACAATGCCAGTGACCCAGCCAGGCATAGTTGCACACGCCTTTAATCCCAACACCCAGGAGGCAGAGGCAGGTGGCTCTCGGTGTGAGTTTGAGGCCAGCCTGGTCTACAGAGTGAGTTCTAGGACAGCCAGAGCTACACAATAGAGAGATCCTGCCTCAGAAAACAAACACAAGACCCAAACCCTTTCTTTGCTCTTTTTGGTTTTGAGACAGGCTTTCATGGAACCCAGAATGGCCCCCAATGCAGGCTGAGTGGAGACCCTCCAGCCTCCACCTCTGCAGTGCTGGGTTACAGTCATGGACCACCATACCCAGTTTAATAAAGCATTTTAAGAGTTTCCTAGGGCCAGGCGGTGGTGGCGCACACCTTTAATCCCAGCAGTCGGGAGGCAGAGGCAGGCAGATCTCTGTGAGTTCGAGGCCGGGCTGGACCGACAGCCTCCAAAACAATACAGAGAAACCCTGTCTCGTAAAAAAAAAAAAAAAAAAAAAAAAAAAGTTTCCTAGGGAAGACTGATTAATTTACATAAATCAAGGAATTGCACTTTACTCTGAAAATTACATTCTTCACTTTAAAATATTATAATTCTTATGCTTAAAATGTACTGGAAGAGTTCCGTGGTAAGGTGTTTGCCTAGCATGCACCCCTGTGTGGTTCCATCCCAGCACCACACAAGCTATGTGTGGTGGCACACCTATAATTTCTAGCACTCGGAAGGTGAAGGCAGTATAATTAGAAGTTTAAGGTTATTATTCAGCTGTATATTGAGGTTAGCACTCTACCTTAAAAAATAAATGTAGCCAGGCATAATGGCACATATCTTTAATCCCAGCAGAGGCTGAGACAGGTGGATCTCAGCAACTTTAAGGCTGGCTTGGCATATATAGTGAATTCCTATTCATCAAGGGCTATATGGTTTGGCCCTGTCTCTGGTGGTGGTGGCAGCGGCGCACACCTTTATTTCCAGCACTTGGGAGGCAGAGGCAGATAGATCACTGCGAGCTCGAAGCCAGTCTAGTCTATAGAATGAGTTCCAGCCAGGGCTGTTACACAGAGACTCCCTGTCTCAACGCCACCTCCTCTGAAAAAGTTGACCCTGTCTCAAAATAATAAACACAAAAGGTTAGCATTTTTCCACTTAGAGGCACAAAGATGCAAAGCGTGGAGGCCTAGTGTGTGTGAAACTGGGATTCCATACACAGCACCACTAAATAAACAAGTATGAGGATTACAAATGTCCTGGAATTGGTTTAGAAATGTCTATTTCATTGGTTCAGAAATGTGCCATATATGCATGGGCATTGCCTGTGTGGGCTCATCCAGCTATAACCGGCCTCCGTAGGATATCTGGCACATCAGATGTCCCCACTATCTGATGCTACTATGACCCCCACAGGATTCTGCCCACCTCACAATGGCCCCTTGAGGTCACAGCAGAGATAACTTCACCAGCCTCTGAACCCATAGCACAAGTCTGCTGAGGCCAACCGTAGGTGATCGATTATTCTCGGTCCTCCCTCTGGCCACCCAGGTGGTGTGGCCCAGACCGTTACAGAGGAACCTCTGAGGGAAGCAGAAGCCAGAACACAGCTCACCCACTACTGAGAGTAAACCGGGTGGATACTTCAGCCGCCACCCTGGAGGCCCTAGCATCCAGTGCTCTTCAGCCACCCCCGGGGGGAGAGATGCAGAGAGACACACGGCTGGTGTCACCATCTGCAGCCCCAAGTGCTTCGGTGGCTGTAGACCAGGCTGCCAGCACATCAGGGGGCCCAAGCAAGGGTGAGATTGGGCCTCGCACCAGCTCCCAAACCCTGCGGAAGCCCAGCATATCGAAGGTGATTCTGAGGGCTGTGACTGACAAGGGAGCTCACAGCCGTGCGTCCCTTGCTGCCTTGAAGAAAGCTGTGACCACCACAGGCTACAACATGACCACCAACAACTGGCGCTTCAAGCGCGCACTCCAGAACCTACTGAAGAAAGGTGTGCTCAAGCAGGTGACTGGCAAGGGGGCCTCGGGTTCTTTCCGCCTGGGCAAGAAGCAGGCCTTCAAGTCCAAGCGCAAAGCCAAGAGACGCCGGCGCCAGCGGAGGGTGCGGAGACAGGAGCCTGGGCAGCGCCGGTCTGGACCATGCCAGCCACTACTAGGCCCCAGAAAGAGCCATAAACGGCTTTTGAAGGGAGTTCATAGGATGGTCAAAGGCCACCACCACTAATAAGGCTGGTTGGGCGGGGCGCCAGGTTTGCTACAAGCTCGTGAAGTGGGAGTAAACGCCGAACTTATTTCACAACTGTCTTCTGGAATCTTTGGGGCTCAGGGGGTTGGAAAGTTAAGCCAGGGACTAAGGGGCACAGAGTCAGGGCGTTGGCCATGGGTGGGGAGAATCTGAGGCAGAATACGATGGATTTGGAAAGGTATGGTAGGAGTCAAAGTATCCATGGCCATCAGCTGGACCAACCATGTCCTCTAACACGAGAATCAGAGGCCAGCCAGGTGTCTGGTTCACAGCAGGGAGGGAGGGAATGGGGCAGGAGGGAGGGAAGGAGGAAAAAAAGAGGAAGAGAGAGATTGTGGAGGAGACAAGGAGAGACAGGAGGGGAGGGACAGGACGGAGAAAGAGCAGAGGAGGAGGAGAGAGGGAGAAGAGAATCCACACTGTGAGATTCCTGTCACTTCTCACGCCCCCTGTGCTACAATAGCCTCTTCTATGACCAGAGCACATGAGGACAAGGTCAGCACATGAATTTATCCTCCAGCCAGCCAAGGCTCGGGGCCGTTGCTGCTCCTAGAGAGTGAAGGGAACAGTTCACCCATCCAGAGGGCCCCCATCCAGCCATTGCTGCTCATAGAGTGAAGGGTCCAGTTCACCCATCCCGCCCCCCCCATCCAGCCATTGCTGCTCATAGAGAGTGAAGGGTCCAGTTCACCCATCCCGCCCCCCCCATCCAGCCATTGCTGCTCCTAGAGAGTGAAGGGTCCAGTTCACCCATCCCGCCCCCCCATCCAGCCATTGCTGCTCATAGAGAGTGAAGGGTCAAATTCACCCATCCAGGCCCCCATCCAGCCATTGCTGCTCCTAGAGAGTGAAGGGTCCAGTTCACCCATCCAGCCCCCCCCATCCAGCCACCCCCAGCTTTGCTCTACTTACTCAGAGGTGGCCATGTCTCTCTTCAGTCTGTGGAAAAACGGAGGTTGGGGAGCTCAGTACCAATCTGGTTTCGCTCCATGGTGTCCCAAGAGCTCCCATGTAGGAATCCCATGTGCTTATATCCAGAATCCCTCCAAGTTGCAAGCCAAACAGGAGTGGACCCCCCTCTGCCTAGAAGTGGGACCCCACATTCCTCTTAGAGTTGAGAATGCCACCCCTGAGAAGTATGGCTCCCCCGGCCCAGAGTGGTCCCTTAGAAGCACCAGCCTGCTGCCCGCCCTGGGCAGCACACTCACTGTCCTTCACGCCGGCAGCACATGATGTAAGCCAGCAGCAGGGTGAGCAGTAGAGCCACCAGCAGGGGCACCAAGAGGGTGACCAAGGCATCTGCCAGGAAGTCTCGGCCTGTGGCCTCCGTGGGTGGGCAGAAGAATGGGTCATGCTCCAGGATCCCATCACCTGGAGTAGGCACCTCATCCAAGGGCTCTGGCACTGACTTGTCCACCTGCGAAGAGTTCAGAGCTGAACCCGGAGTAGCCCAATGCACACAGAGACACTGCCCACAGTAGATGTGGCAGCCACCAACCTATCAGCCCCATATAACCACAGACCTTCTTCCCGCCTGCCTCCCCTAGCCCGTACGACTACAGGACCATCGCTGGATGAGGGGTCAGGAGCAACCAGTTCTAGGAGAGGCAGGGATGCACAATGGTCAGTGCTGGTGCTAGGTTTGGACTGCCTGAGTCTGAACTCTGAGTCAGGCTAGTGCTTCACCTGGGTAAATTGCCTCAACATGGTTTCCTCAGTGAATTCAGAGTGGTGATAGTGTGCCTGTGCCTGAAGTGAATCATGGACGTGAAAGATGCTGGGGACCTGGATCTGGTGCGGAGCACAGCCTTCAGTAGGCTGTCGAAGACCAGTGCTACCTCCACTCGACCCTCATGGAGTCCCCCTTCTGCCCATTTCCAGGAGCAGAGTATACCCCCAGTGTCCAGCCTGGGAGGCAGGGTCTCTAGGATCCCTTGAAACATCACCAAGAGCCTCTTATTGCAGTCAGCCTTGTTTGGTGGCGCTTCCCCCGGAAGCACACAGAGCTGTCATACAGATGCCCTCACTGGAATTCCGGCTTAGGAACTCTTGGTAGTTTCAGCAGTCAGGCTGAGCAGATCTGGGACTCAGAGCTGGGGAGTCCAGATTTGGACTGTAATGTAAACTTTGTAATGTAAACTTTGTCGCCCTCTTGTGGCAGGAAATAGAACTCTGTGTGTGTGTGTGTGTGTGTGTGTGTGTGTGTGTGTGTGTGTGTGTGTGTGTGTCTGGGCTAGAGAAATCATAGACAGAGAGGACTTGATGAGAATCATACCCTAAACCCAAACCCTAGAGTCAGGCTCCTCCTCACCAGAGATACATTGCACCAGTCAACACGGAAGTGGGGTGCCAAGCTGTCATAGCAGGACAGTAATGGAGGCTGTCCCTGGGCACAACGGGCATAGCTGTCTGGTGATGCCACCATCTTCAGGCAGGTAGAGAAGGGTGTGGCAGAGCCCACCTTGATGTATACCCTGAGGTGGGAAGAAGCCACTGTCAGCATAGTGGAAGTGGGTAGGGCACCACTCTGCCAGGGAGAGGTGAAGGTGTCCTGACAGTAGACAAGGACCTGCGTGGGTAGGGGTGGCCCATGGGAGACACATCAGGGTCTGAGGGAGAGGGTCACAGCCCCCAAGACCTGAGACCAAGTTAGAGCACCCGACTTGAGCACCCCAGAAATGACTTTTAACAGATGGACTGCATGTCCTCATGGGGTGTCAATAAGTACAGAGTTCAGAGTAATGAGGTTTGAACCTAAGAAGAAGATGGCAGGGAATGGGCAGTGGTGTGGATCAAAGAGAAGAGACGACCGTGATGAAGGTATGTCACAGTGGTAATCGGGAAATCAGGGCGATGGCTATTTTTGCCCACTCCCCAGTCGACCAGGAAGCCCTCCTGGGCTGCCCCCTTACCCTTCCTTCCGGCCCTCTATGGGAAGAGGGACACGACCTCCACGGTCCAAGGCAGATGTGATGTTGAGCAACTGGAGTTCCCCTAGCTCCCAGAGTCCCCCCAAGGCGGTGAGGAAGCGGTTGGCAGGTGTGGAGGGCAGTACCTCCTCTACATCATGGCTGCGCACCAGGAACTCGGCTTGGTATGGCAACCGGGGACCTGGGGAGGCCAAGTCTGCATTCAACTGCACCCCACTCTGTTCTCGGTTCCCCAGGTGCTTCCTAAGCCTCTTCCAAGCCTTCCCATATTCCCCATGCCACCTCTGTCCCAACAGCCTATACACAACACAGGCCTTAAGTTCCCTTCTCCAACACTGCCGCCGATGACTGCCTGGTGCCCCGGAGCCTATGGGCAGCTCAGTTGGTGACACTGCCGAGGACAGACCTCAGTCCAGAGCTCCTTCCCTAAAGCTATCAACGCCATGTCTGCCCGGGTGCCCGCTCTCCAGGTGCCTTGCTCTCCACTGTTTCCCAGCACTCTCTTTCCCGGGTAAGACTCTTCAAGACCGGCATCAGTAGAGGAATGGAATAGGAATGGAGGTACCTTCGGGGTCCTCAATCAACAGCAGCAGTCGCTGTCTTGTGGTGTCAAAGCTGTCTCGATTGTAGGCTGTGACCTGGGGGAGTGGGAAGTGGGCTGAGGAGGGGGCTAAGGGGAAGCAGGCACAAATGGAGCGCATGCAAATTATATGTAAATAAACAAGCGTAAACACCCAATCCCCTAGCAGGGCCAGTCCTAGGAGGCCCCAGTGGCCACTCCCACATGGTCTGGGTGTCTCTGTGCTGGCACCTCAATGACCTGGCGCCCACGATCTTCTGGAGTGGGAGTACCATAGAGGAAGCCAGGGCTATAGGGACTGCGCTGTGTGTAGCGCAGCCACCGGGGCAGGTCTGGATGTCCCTGGAGGTGGGCCTGATAGGTGAGTCGGACAGTAGGTGGCACCGCTGATGGGAGAAACAAGAGAGTATTGGAAATTGGAGACCGGCAGAAGATGTGGATTGGCACACTCCAGCCCATCTGGTCCCTCTCTCACCAATGTGTTCTGGGAGGCGCAGGAAGGTGGCGTGTTCCAAGGGATGCACAAAAACACGACCCACAAGTGGGTATAAGGTGGTCTGCTGGGCCTTGGTGTCCCTCAGCCCTGCCAGAAGACCTGTGGGGACCCCATAAGCCCCAAACAGAGCTTCAGTCATGGGCACAGGGTTAGCTCTCTTCTCCACAGTGCTCCTGGTGTGCTGAGAGCTGAGGGCTCCTGGCTGGCTCCATGGTGGGCTGCAGACCCGTTGCTGCTGCATAGCTTAGGGGTGACAAGCCCCAGACTGCTGCTGACTTCGGATTCTTGGGAGTGACCCCCAGCTGTCTTTCCCTCCATGTTTTAGGCTCACAATGGGAGGAGACTGACGTTTGGCTGAGAAAGAGGTATGCTATGTGTTGCCGGGTTACTTGGAAAAGAACCCCACGCCCAATGTCAGGAAGGCTAGGGGTAAAGAGGACCCTCAGAAAAGGGGTCGCCATTCTGAGGCCCCCAGCTCCCAGAGACGAGCACAGAACAGGGTCTGCAATGGAGGCCAATAGGAGCCCAGCAAAGTGGACTTGCCCAGGCTGCCTCTGCCTTCCCTCTCAATGCCAAATTTAGCCTGGTCTTCCAGAAGTAGCGTCCCAGCCAACTCATTAAAGGGACCACAACCTGCTTCCCTTGTCCTGTCATGCCCACTCAGGGCTTTAGGACACCCCTGCCCTCAAAGCCGCCTGGGCCCGTCTTCCAGAGGCTAGCTCCTGGTCCCTGGATCCTTGATTGTTATCATTACCACCCCCAAAACCCTCTAGTCCCTTCTTCATCCACACCAGACCCCTCTCCTTAGGACCCCCCACTCTTCTACCTCACAACCCCTAAATTCCACCCCTCATCCTGCCCCTGCCCCTGAAGAAGAGCCCCAACTTGCCCACAAAGAGAAGAATCCAAGTGAGTGTCGCTGCCATAGCTGCTCCAGCCTAGCCAGCCCTGTGAGTGACAGAGACAGGGGCTAGAGCAGAAGAGGGAGGGGCAGGGAGGGGGAGGAGGTGTGTCAGAGCAGCTGGGAATAGCCTTGCCCAGAGTGTGTGTGTGTGTGTGTGTGTTGTTCTGAAGATAATGTTTCTCTGTAGCTTTGGAACCTGTCCTGGAACTCACTCTGTAGACCAGGCTGGCCTTGGTGAGTTTCTTTTTCTTAATGTTATATATTTGATGATGTATTCTTCACTTTACTTGTTCCTTTTTATTATTTTGTGTTTGTGTGGTTTTCCTGCACGTATGTCTGTGCACCTCCTGAATGCAGTGCCTCCCAGAGGTCAGACGAGGGAATTGGACATCTGATACTCTGGAACTGTAGTTACAGATGGTGGTGAGCCGTGTGGGTGCCAGAAGTTGAACTCTTAGAGCTACCGCTTTTGTTTTATGAGGCAGACTCACGTAGCCCAGGCTAGCCTCAAGCTTGCTATGGAGTGAAGATGACCTTGAACTACTTGTACTTAACCTCCTGCCTCCATCTTGTGAGTGCTGAGATGACAGGTGTATGCCATCATGCTTGGCTATATGCAGTTCTGGGAACTGAAGCCAGGACTTTTATATGCTAGTCAAGTACTCCATAAACTGGGCTACATTCACAGGTGATGGAGGATGTCCTTCTGTATATATGTTTCTCTTATTGGTTGATGAATAAAACACTGATTGGCCAGTAGCTAGGCAGGAAGCATGGGCGGGGAGACCAGACAAGCTGGAGGAAGGCTGGGGAGAAGACACAGAGAGAGGCTGCCAAGAGAGACGCCATGTAGTGGCTTAAGGAATAACATGCTGGAGCTTCTTTGATAAGATAAGGCTATGTAGAAATGCAAAGATTAGTAGTTATGGGTTAATAATTAAGAGCAAGCTAGCCAGCAAGAAGCCTGAGCCATCAGTCAACAGTTTAAGAATTAATATGTCTCTGTGTGCTTATTTGGGGCTAATCGGCTGAGGGACCAGGCAGAACAGAAACTTCATATAGGCTTGTTCTGTTTGTTTTTTGTTTTTGTTTTTTGAGACAGGGTTTCTCTGTGTTGTCCTGGAACTTGATTTGTAGACCTGCCTGGCCTTAAACTCACAGAGAGCTTTCTGCATCTGCCTCCCAAGTGCTGGAATTAAAGGTGGTGTGCCACCGCCTCTCTGGATGTTCTATTTTTGAAGCAGAGGTCTCACTAGGTAGTCGATGTGGATACAGAAGTGTAACCCCTACTGGCTCATTAATGGGCCCAAGACCCTCTTGGCTTGGCTCATCATGGCCACCCAGGACTGCCTGCCTCTGCCTCCCAAGTACTGGGATTAAACGGATGTTCCACCACACCAACCCAAAATGTCTTCATTTATACATATGGGTGTTTTGCCTGCACTCAAGAGAAAAGCATTGGAATGCACGAGTCTACAGTTGTAGTCCCCTTGGGCCACCATGTGGGTGGGAATTGAACTCAGGATTTAAGGAAAAGCAGCCAGTGCTTTTAATTACTGAGCCACCAACCTGGCTACTTGGGCCCTCCCTTAAATGTTGAAGATTTGTTTTTATTTTGTATGTGTGAGTGACTGTCTGCATGTGTGTTTATGGGTGGCATGCATGCCTGGTGCCCGTGGAGATCAGAAGAGGGAGCCAGATGCCCTGGACCTGGAATGACAATAGCAGAAGGTGGTGCTGGGAACTGAACCCAGGTCCTTTGCAAGGACAGCCAGTGCTCTTAACCACTGAGCCATCTCTCCAGAGCTACCCCCTTTGAAATCTTCTCCAGCTGATGACTTGCTGGCCCTTCCTCTAGCTGGCCATTTTGTCTAGAACCCCACTCCCACTCCCAGGCTCTGGCCCTCCCTCTGCTCTTGCCTAGTTTAATATGTCTTCTTAATCTCCTGGCATCCATCCAACCTGTTCCCTCTGCCTGGTGTTCCCTTCCTGCCTGGTGTTCCCTTCCTGCCTTATCCCAGACTGTACGCACATGCCCCCTCCTCTCTGAAGCCTTTCCCTGTCCCTCCTCTTTCTAGGCTGGCTGCTTGTGGAAGAGTGCACACACACACACACACACACACACACACACACACACACACACACACACCCTCTGTGTCAACCCAGCCTCACAGCATCCTGATGTGGGACGGGAGTTTCGCTCCCCATCTTACCACCTTCTTAATGCTGCACCTGACATGGGGCTTAGCAGCTAGTAACCGCAGGGGGCTGGCTGACAACTTCCTTAACAGTTTCCCCCAGTCTGAGCCCCAGACCAAGCATCTTCCATGAGAAGGCCTGGATGGAAAAAATTCAGATGGTACCAGCCAGGTGGGGACGGGTAAGCAGAGGAGAGGCTCTCTGGCTCATGTAGCTGCAGCTAACTGCACAGGCTTCGGGTCCCAGTTTGACAGCTCCTGCAGACATGGTCGTAAGTCACTCGCCCTCCTGAGACCTGTTTTCATGGCTAAAACCGCATGATTAGTGCTTGCCCCTGGGTACGGCTACGGAAAATCTACAGAAGCACCAATGGCAGCGTGCGTTCAGCCCCCCGTGTCATGCAGAGATGAGAAAACCCTGCCTGTCTGTCTGGGGCTGGTGGGATGGTGAGAAGGTCAGATGCCAAAAGGTTGCCATGCATCTACACGCACCGACCCATTCCATACTCATGGAAATGTCATGAGGCAGACGTTACTGTAGCCCCATTTTACAGTTGATAACACTGGGTCACAGTGGTTTCTTACTTCCTCCAAAACCCTGCTGCTGCTGATCAAATGCTCATAAAGTACACAGCCCTGTGTCCAGCTCCCTCCTTGATGTACCTGGTGATGGACACCACCGAGGAAGAAATCGTGCCCCACCACCACGAGCATTCCAGTCTTTGCAGGCATGGCTTCAAGCCTCATGTGTTGCTTACCTCACGTCACCCCGAATGCCCAAGCAAGGATGTCTGGGACCTGTCTCGGGTCAGGCTTGTATTCAGGTGACTAGTGGGCAGGTTTTGTCCTTGTCCTAGCTCTCTTTCCACATGACCACCCTGCTTGCCCCTGGAGAGCCACACAATTTCCAGAGTCAACATCTACTCAGGCTCCCAGGCAGGTGTTTGTCCCGGGGTCGTCTTGCCACCTCCCGCCCTCTCTGAGATGGAGGAAAGAGGAAAAGGTTTGGAGAGCAGGAGAGGAAGGCGTATGAGAGCGGGCTGGGAGCAGAGCTGGCAGACGGCCCTGCCCTGCCCCTGACTCCCGTGTGACACCCTCCCCAGATGCCCACTCCTATTTTTGGTACCACTTGCTCACACCCTTAGCTGTGTTAAGGCAGAGTGTGCCTTAGTGTTACCAACTCTCAAAGACACGAGGCCCACAGAGGCCAGCCTCCCTCAATGGAAAAGCTACAGCCATCTCTCTTCTGGTCTTCCCCAACAACACCCCCATTCAGGAGAGCTAGGGCTGTCCCAGGAATCCACTGGAGGCCCCAAGGCTCCCCATCAGGGCTGCTTCCCTACAACACCTTCCATCTGTTGGGATTCGGGGACTGGAAAGGTGTCGCTGAGTCCTCAGACTTTTTGTTGGAGAAATTTTATTTCTTTTTAAGAAACGGAAGCTGAGTATAGCGGCTCACTCCTTTAGTTCCAGCATGACGGAGGCAAAGGCAGGCAGATCTCTGTCAGTTCAAGGCCAGTCAGGGCTACATAGTGAGACCCCCATCTCAGAGAGAAAAAAAAAAAAAGAGGGCTGAAGAGAGTGCTCTTAACCACTGAGCCATCGCTCCAGCCTATAAAAATGTTTTTAAATGTGCATAGAATAATAAAATATCTATTATCCAGCTTCAACAATTATCAACTCCTGGCCAATCTCTTCCTGTCCCCCCCCACCTCTCAGGTTCCGTCTCCCATTTCATCTGTCAGTATCTCAACATATCTTTGAAAGATAAGCCATTCTCTCTAAACATGGTCACAAAGGATTACCAGTTATCAAACTTCCAGTGTTTGAATTTCCATTTTCTTTCCTTTTTTTTTTTTTGTTTGTTTTTTGTTTTTCAAGACAGGGTTTCTCTGTATTGTTTTGGAGATTGTCCTGTAGACCAGGCTGGCCTCGAACTCACAGAAATCCGACTGCCTCTGCCTCCCGGGTGCTGGGATTAAGGGCGTGGGCCACCAATGCATCAAATTTCCATTTTCTTGTAAATTTAATCTTTTTTATTCTGCAAAACCCTGACCTCAAACTCATGGGCTTAAGGGAGTCCCCCTTCTCAGCTTCCCAAATACCTAGGACTATATATAGCCTCATGTCTTGGTACTTAACTCATTTCAGGTTTTATTTTGGTTTTCTTTGAGACAGGGTCTCACTTTGCAGCCCTCTGATCTGGAACTCATGGCTCCCCTATCTCAGTTTCCAACATGATGGGATTACAGGTGGTGTATCACAACACCCCACACATATTTCCTTTTTTTTTTAAAAAGCAAATTATTTGTGTTAGGATCTAAATAGGTGGATACACTTTAACTTGGTAGACTTAAATATTTCTGCATTTTAAAAAAAGATCTATGTATTTATTACATATAATGTCCTGCCTACAGGCCAGAAGAGGGCACCAGATTGAATTGTAGATGGTTGTGAGCCACCATGTGGTTGCCAGGAATTGAACTCAGAACACCTAGAAGAGCAGTCAGTGCTCTTAACCTCTGAGCCATCTCTCCAGCCCTATTTCTGCATTTTTTAGGCTTTCCATCATCTCTTTCTCTTTTCCTCCCTTGCATCCCTCCATTCTCTCCTCCCTCCCTCCTTCCCTTTCTCTTGCCCTCTCAGCTATGAAGAAGGAAGATCAGTTCTGCAATTGCTCATACTGTAGGTTTGCCGATAGCATCTCCCTGGTGTTCTACCACCTCCACACTGTCCGTAAGCCATTGAAATTCTCTGGACACTGTAATCTTCTGTAGAGTATAGCTGGATCATACTGAGGATCTTTCCTCTACAAGCCCACTTTATAGATGGGGAC